GAAAAATCGACATTGAGGCCCCAAACGCGTTCTCTTCGTTCTGATTCTTAAAAGAAAAATTGGCGACCAGGATTTTCCATCTGCCTACCAAAAATATTGCTTTGTGTTTCGCTGCGAAGGAAAAATTTTATTGACACTTTTTGGCGACCAACCTTTTCCCTATGGCGACTGAAAAAAACATTTCAGTCGCCAGTCGGCGCCTGCCTAAAAAAGTTAATTTCGGACCCTGCATACCTTGTCTGAAGTTAGTAAATGAAAAACACCAACAACTGTCTAGACTTGCCTGATGGTCTATAATCACAACTCATTGATTTTGCCAATGATTCATCTCTTCGAATTTGCTCCTTAGTAGCATCCTGTTTGTCCAGTGGTTTCTTTCCTGTACATGAAGTCTCTTTATGGTTCTCATCAAAGTCGTCCTCTGGTGTAACATTTTCTATATCAACAAACATTGTAAAATCTGTCTTACAAACAAAGAGCTGTCCTCCATTCCGTCGGCCATGTCCACTTCCAACTCTTTCATCCTACATAAAGTGGAAAAAGTACAATCAGTATTACCTACTGCAAGGCACAAAACGTTTGCAGATTATGTCAATGGTACAAGTGTTCAAAACATGATTTGCCCACCATGACTTGATCATCATGTACCCTCGCAAGTTTAGTTTCCTGCACCTGCCAATCATGCACACCTATATGCACACTACAACATGCATTCAACTTCACCCAGCCCACATGCACAGTTGTGTGATTATAATATATGGGTTATTGACAAAGCATGGGACCAAGCATGAAGTCAAAATCACTGGATATTGACCTTGACTGTTTGAACGTCCATAAACACACAGAAAAAGAACTTGGCCAATATCCAGCCATCTTGACTAAACACACACATATCCACTTGCATCTTCCTCTTGGCCAACATAACGTACAGTTCCTCTGGCTGGATGATCATCAATGAATGTGACAACTCTTTGACCAATTTCAAGTACCTGGTTAATTCTTTCCGGAGGAGACTTTCGTTCCCTTTTTCTTTTAACAAAGGATGGCATAACTGCATCTATTAGTCTTGATTTAAAGTTAGCTTGAGATTTAGAGTCAGGATCCTCTCGAGGTGTTAATTTATCAAGTCCAACAAAGACATCGGAGTCTGGTGAACAGGTAAAGTAACGCTTGTCCCGGAATTTTCCATCAGATGTTCCTTGCCCTGGATGCTTCTGAAAGATTAAAACAAAACAGAGTACTTTTCAATTCATACCGTAGAATTCTGAAAGTAATGCCACCCCCCAAAAAATAATAATAACAATAACAACAACAATAACAACAACAACAACAACAACAACAACAATAATAATAATAATAATAATAATAATAATCCATCAGAAGTTCGGTACCCTGGATTTTCCTAAAGGAATAAAATAAAACAGACTAATAATCCACCTCAAGGCCCCAGCAGAGAAGTGAAACTGAAGGTGTTAATTACCGTGAAATTTACATTTCACTTTACAATGGCACAGAAAACATTTTCTGACCTACTCTATCTAATCCTTAATTATAGTTACAGCATAATAGACATGGTAAAAGCAGATTAATGGTGAAGACTTACACATTACAGAGTACACAGGATGACAATAAAATGTCCAGTCAATATCCTTGAAGTGATGATGATGATGATGATAATTTAGAGAGGAAGCTACATCAGCCTTAGCTGGTTTTCATGCGGCTTCTCTATCCTTTAAAGTGCTCGTTTCCACGGAGGTGGAAAACAGGAGAATTCGGAGAGAAACCCTCGGAGCAAGGCAAGAACCAACAACAAACTAAACCCAAATATGGCACCAGGCCGGAATTGAACCCAGGCCACATTGTTGGGAGGCAAACACTCTCACCAATGCGCCAACCCTGCTCCCCAGTACACATATAGTCAATCATATATTTGCCAAACCTGAATAGTCAGCTACTAGGTAACATTACCTTGTGCTGATTAACAATTAGACCCGTCCCGCAAGGGCTACAGGTCAATAGCCCATGAGGCGAAGCCGAATGGGCTATTAACCCATGGCCCTTGAGAACGAAGGGTCTAATTGTTTTAGTATCACCCAACTAGTCGGACAGGAAAGGCAATAACAAAGTTAGCAAATGCAAGTTGAAGAACTATTTATTTGGGAATAAAACGAAAGAAAGTGTTGCGCTTGACGCGCCAATTTCTCTACTCGAGGACTATTACTATTAGTCCTCTAGTGGCGTAGCCAATTAAAATGCAGGATTTTCATTAGTCCACTAGTTGGGTGATAGTAAAAGCAAAGAGTCAACAGGCAGGTATATCCAAATTGACTAACCATTGAAAAATACAAGTTAGAGTAAGGACTTTGTTTTACTAAGAAAAAAGATCTCTTGTTCCATATGTAAGATAAAACCTACAGCATGCATCTGCTAACTACATTCCAAGATGTAAATCAAATATTTTATTTCTGATTCCTGTACGTTTTTCCAGTGTACATGCATACTGCGCAATACTGTGCACAGAATATGACAACATAATTTATGGGCAAGCACTGACTACTGATGCATCAGTAATAAAGCAACAATAGCACAACATATGAAGTTCACAGACCATAGCACTGAATCCCCACTACAAAGGAATTGTGTGGTTATCAACCATCATGCACAATCATACCCTTTTGAACAAATTATTGACAGCAGCTTTTAATGCATCTGTTCTCTTGTTGCTGGTATATTGCATCATGACATTGTCAAAGAAGTCTATGGATCCAATTAGCTCATGGATCTACAGCTACTTTGACAAAGGTATGACACCTTATGTCATCAGATGGATGCATAAAAAACTGCCATCAGTTTGTTTTGTACAATAACAGAAGCAATAAGCATTCAAGCACAGACTTCTGGAAAATGTGAAAGAACTTGAATTTCTTTTAGCCAAAATGATTTTGGAAGTCATGACTTCATAAACTTGAAGATGATACAACAACTCAAAACTAAAATGCAGAAATGCAATTTCTAAAACTAACCTTTATTCATGTCAAAAGTGAACTGATCAACATGACACAAGCGTAGGACAAAACAAAGAAAAAATCTGAGTCCCTGACAGGAATCAAACCCATGACCTCCCGAACACTGGGCGGGCACTCTATCCACTGAGCTACGAGAACTCATGGAGAGCAAGGTCATTTAACTGAGTTCATATATGACAGGTGTCCTGCATACTNCGTGGAGAGCAAGGTCATCTAACTGAGTTCATATGTGACAGGCGTCAAGCATGCTGCTAGGATCAGCACCATCGAAGTCATTGTGAGTCTGATAAGTGAATAAATATGGTGAATTTTAAGCTTGGTAATGAAATGTGAAAAGTGAACTGATCAACATGAGACAAGCGTGGGACAAAGAAAAAATCTGAGTCACCGACAGGAATCGAACTCATGGATTCGAAAAAATACTTAAGATCTTCGTGTGATGGTGCCATCTATGTTCCTGTATTTTTACTGACTATAAATCCAATAAAAATTAGCCAATGAGTGAGCAGAAAATTGACAGTGTAAATACTAGAATAATTATTATTCTATAATTTAGATAATTGTCAGCTTGATGCAGGAAATGACCTACACTTTGAGCCATCATTTTCTTCATTAAGGCATGTAAAAGAATGTATTGCGAACTATAAGAAAATTCTGTACACATGAAAACCGTTAACTAGGGCATTTAAGCCTAAAGGTAACTTCTGAAAAACATAAGCTTCAATAATACCTTGGCAGGGCTTGAAAAAATTTGCACTCAAGCTTGCCCTTTGGGCAAGTAACTCTCAAATGTTGCTTGCCTGGGGTCTTTTCCATACAGTTCTACAACTTCAATACATTGGCATTGAGTTTGGTTTTATATAGTGAAACTGGAAAATGCTCAAAGAATATTGCTGAAATTTTAAACCATGTTAAAATTTAAAAAACAATGTTTTCATGTAGAAGACGGCTATTTTCATCACGGAAATTCAAAAGAAATTTGATCGAGGCAGACTTTGATCACATGCCAACTTGGTAACCAGATGAAGAATTTGTTTCTACCTTCTTTTCCATAACCTGCAGGAACAAAAATGACCTGCATTTCATATACATCAATCAAAACTTTGATTATCTTTGTTAAATNGCCAACTTGGTAACCAGATGAAGAATTTGTTTCTACCTTCTTTTCCATAACCTGCAGGAACAAAAATGACCTGCATTTCATATACATCAATCAAAACTTTGACTATCTTTGTTAAATTATCTTTGTTAGATTATAGAGCACATTCTGTTCCTTTATTCTCCAAATTAGGAATTTTAGACATTTATCAAATCAACACGTTTCAAATAGCTAAATTTATGTACTATTACCATAACAACCTGTTGCTTCCATTGTTTTTCAACTTGTTTTAGATAAACAGTCAAATTCATGGCTATAGCACCAGAACAGCCAATAATTATTACGTGCATCATTGCCGGACTAATCTAAGAGAATTCACAATTCTTTACCAAAGATCTGGAATTCCCTTTCTGTTACAATCACTTCTTTGTCACGTTTTCACAATTTTAAGAAAACACTGCTAGAGTTTTTAGTTAAATAATTACTGAACTGGCAAAGCTGCACACTGTTGCACTATTTATGTAACCGTGTTGTTAGGTACGAGGTGGCCTCAACTAAAAGCCTGATGGTTTCTAGAGGTCACCTCGCCTCACATTAAAATATTTATAAATACTGTATATTAAGTGAAAAGGCAAATAAACAGAATGAATGAAAAAAAAATATACTTACGAGAGTAGAAATTTGTTAATGCCACTGGAATTTTGCTGCAAAAGTTTTCACTTGACTCAATTACATGTAAGCTGACACTGTTTACATTTGTTTGATTTGCCACACAGTGATGAAAAAAGTATTTACATGTTAATAAATTCACAACGTGTAGTTCCAGAAAATATCCATACCTCTACCATGGAAGGAATTTTTTTAAGAACCCCATCCCTCTGGAAATTGCGATAAGCTGCATACATTTCTTTGAAAAGTTTGGTCTTTTAGGACCAAAACCCCACTTCCACCCCCAGGAAATTCCAATCCCTTCTGTGGCAGGAGTATGAATATTTTTCTGGAACTGCACAATGGATGTTTTCAGTAATACGGCAGCCATTTTTAATTCTGTTGTAACAGTTTCAAATAGCTATTCTGGGATGCTTAGGCGGCAAATATATACTGATTTGCCCCCTGACCGTCCCATAATAGCTATTTGAAAGAATAGGATTCAAAATGGCCACCATATTGCCTAAAAGGTTCCTTCCGACAATGTGGCATAGGATCTCTAACTGGATCTGGTGAGTTCGTTTCTGTCTCAAAATCCATTTTAACTGCTGCTCATTCCCATTTAACTGGCTGGAATATTCAATCATTATCTATCAACCCATATAGGTTATTGGGAGGCCATTACTCTATGGCATATTG